ATATCAATTCGCCCAGAACAGCAACACCAGGGACACCAGATAGTCAGAACAATAAATGTCTTCCACGTTAACGAGGCTTATTTGAAGAAAGACGAGTCAATAAAGTGCGAATCATATAATATAGAAAATCGATCATATTGATTCATCAAATTTTATCGAAAGATCGTATATAATTGACGATATTCAATTCAAGATAAAAACTAAAGAAATTTATCAATTTATTTTTCAAGAAGACGAACATAACATTTATCTCATTTGCTGGACAATTAGAAAATAATATTTGCATAAGAATATTCATATATATATATCTTAGAATAGATTTGTAATGCGGATTATTGGTCGCGAATAATTTTCTCAGGTCTAATCCTAAATAAAAATCTCTATTAATATTCCTATCCAAAGCCTCCTAGAGATCTCTACGATTCTCAATCAAAATAATCAAATCATCGAAATAATATAATAAAATTAATATCATTCCTAGAGCAATCGATTTATTTCTCCAAGATTTATCGAGACAATTTAAATGAATATTCCCAAATATATTATCAGCTGGAATCGTGATTAACAGAAATCTAAATTACTAGCTTAATGAATTTCATTATTTTCAAGTCATGATTCAAATAAATAATTATTATCGAAATCTGAATCATTATCTTAATAAATAGAATATATTTATATTATTGAGATCAATATATTTTTTCTCTTCAATTAATAATATCGAAGAAACACAAAAATTCACTTTCATTCTTTCAATCGCAGCGTCTCATCAAAGACCTTTCTAATAACTATAATATTTCTCGATAACATAATTCATCGAAATTAACAATTCTAATTAAAAGACCGGATGATTCCACATGTATATTTCAAGCATCGATAGGAAACACAAAAGCAGTGGGAGAGCGAGTGAGGCAGTAAGTCAGTGAAGGAGTGGGTGAGTGAATGTGTGTGAGTGAATGAGTGAGTGAGTGTATGTGTGTATGCGTGTGTGTGTGTGTGTATGTGTGCGTGTGTGTGGGTGTGTTATGTGTGTGTGGGTGTGTGTGTGTGGGTGGGTGGATGGGTATGGATATATATATATATTGCCCATGGCCTTTTCCGTAGCCGTGCAAAATTTTCCGCACTTACGGAAAAGGCAATGTAGTTTCGAGGCTATAACACATATCATCTCCGCGGGTATCTAGGAATTATCCACTTCGTCAACAGTCAATTCTTCTCATCTACATCCCATCTCGCTCAATCTGCACTTGCACTACACCCGCATTTCAAGGTCCTTTGTCGGAAGAATCGAGGTCGTAAAGATGTCGTCAATCGCTATCAAGGTGGAAGATCCATCTGCGTCAAAAAACGACAAAAAAAAGACACGAAGCAAATCAGATTTTGCAAAGAAGAAATTTTATCTATAGAAGGGTCAGAAATTATAATTAAATAATATTTTGCTCCAAGATATAATGCCCGATGGCGGCATCCGAGGGTTAGGGGTGTGTGTGTGTGTGTGAGTGTGTGTGTGTATATGTGTGTGTCTGGGCGTGTATCTGTGTGTGTGGGTACGTGCGTGGTTGTGCTCTAAGCGTGTTACAGTCCACGAGCGCGACATCCCACGGCGCGCATGATGGGGTCGGGGCAGGCCTCCAACAACCTCCACAAGGCCGGCATCCCAAACGCGCAAGAGGGCCGGCATCCCACGGCGCGCGTGGGGTCTGGGCAAGCGTCTAACAGCCTCGATAAGGCCGACATCCCACGGCGCGCGTTCGACCTGGGCAGGCTTCTATAACAGCCTCCGGTATGCCACGACGTGCGTGGGATCGGGACAGTGTCGACCTCTATAAGAGCCTGGACAGATCCGATATCCCGCGGCGCGCGTGGGCCTCTAACAATCTCCGGAGGCCGATATCGGGTCTAACCAGACCTCCAACAGCGTAGGCTAGCATCCTACGACACGCGTGGGGTCGGGGCAGGCCTCTATAGCAAGCTCTAGAGAGCCGGCATCCCACAACGCGTGTAACATCGGGCAGGCTTCTAATAACCTCCAGAGGGCCGGCATCTCACGGCGCGCGCGGGGCAGATCTCTAGTAGCCTCCACAAGTCCGGTATCCAACGGCGCGCGTGGCGGCAAGAACTTGTCAACACTCTATAGAAAATCGACGTGGAGACAATCGAGACTACGACCTGGACACAAGTGTAGCCATCCATCCAGCAGCATCGAAGCCCGTAGAGATTAAACGACGGGGATTATACCGAACGGCCGCATATGGATCTTCGGCAGCGTTCAAAGCGATCGCGAAATGATCTGGTCTATATCGATATCGAGGATGACAATCCCAGCTATATACTGCTGTCACATCTGGAAGTCTGCCGTGTGGACGTGGCTTACCGAAGGTGGTGCGCATCACGACAAGCAATCGAAAGTGGGTAGTCGGTGGATACAACAACGAAGAATTATATACGAACGACTTATGGTTCGAAGATCTACAGAACGGCACGTTGACCTAGTATCAGGTATTCCCTATTGTCAACCCGTCTGCAAGAAGTTTGGCCGGGGAGCTCTCTCATACTCTCTTCCGGCGGACGGTTTTAGATATATGGAGGTGCTTATAGTAGTGGCCTTCTTAGCGATCTAAGGTTCATCTTAATGGAAATGTCGGGCTGGGAGTTGACATGGCAGCCTACCGATACAATCACGGGATCGGATAGTTTCGCAATGCTGTCATAATTTTCGCGAGTGACATGCTAATATATGGTGGAAAAAACAACAACGGCATGTTCTCGGACACGTGGAGCCTATCCCAAGTCTCCCCATCAGACTCTTCGGCTAGACGTACCTATAGCAACATAGTAATGAACCTTAACAACCGGGTATTGTTGCTGCACTACTATAAAAATATTCCGAGTAAAACATCATTAACACGCAAATTTCAGAAGTTTGCTAGTTTAAATAAATACAAAAACCACAATTCCTTTTCATTCTCTTAAAAATTAATCCCTTCGTCAAATACCTATAATCAATTAAATTCAGAAATCTATGACCTCAGACATAAGATATCAGAAATATCACGGTGCAACTTATTTCTCCGAGAAGATGGGTCAATTTGGTGCTATAATCGGAGGTGATATATTATTTCACGATAAAGGCTATATAGACTTAATGATAAATAATAGTACGTATTAGACCCAAATTACCATCACTAACTCACCACCGAATATACATAAAAACCATTGTATAATAATCGGCACGACCGATTCCCAAATATATTCTTTTCTTATAAAATATAGTCAATTTATCACTCATCTTATTTCCATCGAAATACCAAGATTTTTTCACAAATAATGAAGCTACAATTCAAAATATAGAAATCAATATCTTTCTTCAAAAATCATATATCTTATCAAATAAAAAATCAAGAATCTGCCATGCAATCACCCCTCGCTAGAGTCCGACCCAATCGAGAAATAATTCTTCTGACTCTCGTTGTAATTCAGAATGTTGGATTGAAACTTAACAATAATATGATATCGAAGCCTCTCTTTAAAATTCTTGATAGTTCGTTTTAAATTTCTTTTATTCCCCACATCTTTATGTGGGGTTCTTACTTTTTATTGGCAGGCGTCTGCGCTTCACCTCCTCCTTCTTCCTCCTCCACACACTCACTCATACACATACGCACTCATATATACATACACACATACACAACTACACACCCTCACTCATATTCACACATTCACACACACACACCCACACCTCACATACAGACACACACACACACACCTACCCTACACACACACACCCCTCTCACACATCCACCCAATCACACACACACTTATTCACTCACAAAGGGGAGCGTGACATCCAACATGCACGGACACGCCATCACGGAAGCAAACAAGGTGAAACAAAATCTTTGCTTAGCACAAACGTGCATAGCCAATAGTGTTGCAACTGCAGCATGGTTCGGTTGTAGAAACGCCGTTGGGTGAAGTCGCGGGACAGGCTGCTTCCCTTGTGCTACAGTAGTGACTCTTTGGCCAACTTGAGCCGGAAGGAATGTTGTCAAGCCATCCTAACATGCACAATACCTGAACGACGGATTCCCTAAAATTGCAAAGGGGAGCTGAATCGAAGAAATAACCTGGTTTAACAAGCAAAAAATTAAGATGATAAATCAAATGCGAGATTCCTCCATATCTAGGATTACACAAGTTGCAAACTATGTACACATATACATAATTTGAGTCTTTAGGAGTTCTACCATATTTCTACCCATATTTTCGCCCTCATGTAGTTAGTGATGAAGAAGTATGTAGTGCAAGTAGCTTATAGTGGTGAGACACATCCTGCTAGCAACAAGTAATGGGACGACTGAAACTCCGAAGTGTCTCGAAGATCTTGTCGCAACGTTTCCTAACAAAATGTTGGTTGACATTGCGTTTGAGGTTTCCAGCCGAAGCGGTGTGAATCGTCTCCTCGAGCCCAGTGGCTGATGATTTGCTGCTGCCGTCATGAGCTCGGACGGCGGTGGTGTAGGGTTGCGCCTGAAGTTGTAGGCCTTGTAGGCTGTTCGCTCGATAATCGCTTCTTACCTTCTCACCCGAGTTCTAGCAGCAAGAGTTACTGAATACAGTCATACCGCTTTTTTAGCGAAAACACCAGAACTGCCAAACGGAACTTGTGTGCTCCCGAACGAAACTACTTCCAGTGCAAGTATTCCCTGTTGAATTGCGCGTGTACAGCCAGTCAACTAATTGAATATTTTCCATGGGCATCTTATGACACAGAATGGGCATCTTATGAAACAGTCATGTGCTCCGAGGACCACTACAGTAGATGCAGCGTTCGGATGCATACTGTGGATGTTGGCTGCTGAAGACTTTGCTCTGCATCTTTTTGTCGCTCAAAGGTGAATCGACGGCATGTCTGTAACCATCGTTTGGCTCAGGCAGGCAAAGGCCGAGACATGACGGTGGTGTGTTCTCGGCGAGGGAGCGAGTCCCACAGGGAGACCGAGTCACGTGATGACCGCAATCCTGCATGCTCCCAGGCATCTAAGACTAAGACCGAGGATCCGAAGCGTGATTGTACAAACAAGGGATTAGTTTCCCACCCACCTCTCTTGCGACCTGCTTTGCCTCATACTTGGACAGGAACATTAGCATTTCGTTCCTCGCGGGGCAAGCCGTGCAGGACAAGCTTTGACGCTTGGGCTTGAACCAGCTGCAAGCTTCAAGCTCGGCTTTCGCACTGCAGCTGAGTCTCGCCGTTTTGACGATGTTCTGGCTTTTGGGATGCTGACCTGGTTCAACAAAAAGCTTGAGTTGGAAACCCAGCTGACTTGCAAAGCAGTTAGCAAGAGCTTTCGAACTGCATGCGAGCTTAAAGTCCCATCTTGCAAGAGTCTGGCGCAAGGTTCCCATTGTCAGATTCCACAAATCCGTCAAGTTTGAGATCTCCTGGCGGGAACTTTAAGATATGCCCTAGGCCCTATGCACTTGGCGCAGGATGTGCACCTGCTTCTTCTGCACACACAGAACCAGCAGCGTCTGCAAAGCAGCCGTGCAAACCTGAAGCTCGAAGACGTGCATCGTTGCCCCGTGCCAAAGGCATCATCAAGCGTCTTACCCATGCGTAGGGTTGGTGGCGTCGTAGTGCATGAACGGTGGCATCGAGTCCTGTCATGTCAGTGCGAAAGAAGTGTTGAAAATGTGTGTCTGTCCAAATCATATCACCTGTGTTAGGCTCCTGTAAACAATGCTGCTGCTGCTGCTCCTGTTGGGGTTGCTGTTGTTGCTCCTGCTGCTGCTGATGCTTTTTGTTTGTTGCTTTGTTGCAAGCCGTTTGCCAACTCCTTGAGGAACCGCTCTGGTATTTCCATACTTGATAGCGTTCTTTTCGTTTTCGACCTTGCTCTCATTTTTGTTCTCATTGTTTGTAGCTATCGTAACTTGGATGTTCTCTCCCTGCAGTCATCGTTGTTACTGCGTCTTCGAAGGCCGCGCGCACACACACACACACATGCACGCACACACACACACAGGTTTGACAAACTAGTTGAAATACAATTTCGGTGCGTTCGAAGCAAACAACCACGGGTAGCAGATCAGTCGCTGCCTTTTCTCGAGCCAGATGCCGTGTGCGATGTTAGAGCAAACCTGCCTCTCGCTTGCCTGAGCCAAACGGCAGACGCCGTTGCAGAACCAGACCGGGTCGTTCTCTGAATGGCGGACAACTGGCGATTGAGACACTCTTCGACATTGTGTCATGGGTTGCGACCGTAATTAATATTTGCACAGCCCTTCTGGAAGGCTGCAGCCTTCCGGATAGCACGTCTTCCCTAGTACAGGCTGCACACTTTCACAACTCTTTGGCTGTCCTCCGGCACGGATTATGCCATCCAGGTCGCACCGTGCCAGTGCAGCCAGCACCTGGCATCTGGCCATCACGCAACAAAAACAGGCTGCCTGATGCCTGCATATGTGTTGTCACATCATGAGCTTCGGAAAGACTCGGCGCATTGCTCCTACCCTGTATAGTTTCCCCAGGCCCAGCTGAGCCTCACAGGAAACTCGCTGGAGACCGGCATCAAGGGGCGAGAGCCGCATGGCCTGCCAACATTTACGAAATCCGGCAGTCTCAAGCGAGTCGAACCTTTTGAAACGTGTTTGGGTCAAATGTAAAACATGAGACTCCGGACTTTATGGTTCGAAGCTTTTCGATGGCCGTCCTACGCAAGCCCAAAGCAATTGTCACGAATCCCACGCCTTAATCCAAACAGCACCCTGCTTGTGGTGCTTGTCCAACACCAGCACCAGCACCATCATTCTCTTCAGCATCAGCATCATCATGAAAATGTGGGCCTTTCGCCAGTGGTGTTTGTCGGGGAGTTGTTGACGCTCACACTGGGACACAGCCAGGCAAGGTCAGGGAAGTGTGGTGTTTGAAAGAAAACTAGAGAGGAGCTCACACAGACTCTGCCGCCTCCGACTGCCCTTATTGCCTTATTGGCTTTGTGGCAGCTTCACAGCTGGAAGCGGATTGCGTGTCCTATCCGCTAAAAGCGCTGAAACCAATTTGAACCTTGTAGCTTCTGCCCAGTTCCGGACAGAACTTCCTGCTACCTGAACCACTAGATGATCTCCCATCAGACATACAGGCTCCGATTTCGATCTTTCGGACGGTAAAATTGAAATGCATCAGGGCCGATTCCAGACTTCCGCTCTGAGGTCTGAACACATCGAATTGGATCTGGACTCGTCAACTCTGACTCCATATTCTGCTTTGATTGGACTTATCTTTGCTCTTGCCTTTGTGGCATGTGGAGGTGCGTCGCGAGGCATCAGTGGCTACAGGATCTTGAGTTGCGAAGGTGCAGCTGGCACGGTGCCGCCTCGACGACGAGCTGTGCAGCGCCATGTTTTGCAAGAGCCTGACCAAAGCCTCTGCAGACCAACCTGCAAATCGAGAAGCGTTGATTGCAAGGATTGGCACAAACCAGTGCCAGCATCAGCAGGGCCTGTTCGCGTGCTGGAACAAGCTTTTCTGCAAAGAGGGGCTTCTCCGAGAAATGCTCGCCGCCTTGACCTGCGAAAGGACGGCCACAAGTTCTGGGCGAGTACCATTCCGGTGTGATTACAGGTGGTGTCTCACAGA